AAAAAAAAAAAAACACTGTTTGGGCCATGTGACTTTCTCAGAAACTTGTCCATCCTGACCTGGCGCAACCGAGGCTCGAAAGCTGAACAACAAGACAAACTGCATCAAGCAAATGAACTGCCCTACGGGCATCGTCCATACCAGTACTAAGTACATTCGCACGATTTGACAACGGTTCAAGAATGATGCCGCCTCGTTTTCGCGCGCCACAAAGCCGATGGTTTTTCCACTGGCCAATAGTTGCTTTCGAAGCTCCGCCAAATCAGCCTGCAAACCATCTACCTACGCATAACCCTGGAAGTCTTGTGCAACCCTCCTGCACGATAGTATCTGCATCCAAGTAAATGACGACCTGAGACTGCAGCATGCTGAGGCATCACTCCAGCGGAGACAGGGAGTGTACTGGGGCCGAAGCGGCCCGTTCTAAAATCAAGTGCATATAGAATCGCGCAAAGTTTTCTGGCGTGTCAATTGCCCCTCGCTCCTGACCATGCACGTGCGAACCATTCACTACGAGCAGTGTTGCATGCGCTGGCTCCTTGCGCAAGTTTGACGACACCTTGGCAACTGCCTTTTCAATCAGTTGGCCCTGCACCTTACAAGCTAGAAGCGCGTAAAAACATTGAACAAACAAACTTGCACTTCAATACGTCAAGCTGGATGCCGAGAAGGTTGCTGAGTGAACTTTAATCAAAACACCAGTCACACTGACCGTCGCTTGGCAGTCGGGACGAATTCCGAACCGCTCCTGTGACCACGGTGCTGGGAATGCGTCAAGCAAAAAGGTTGTGAGCATGGCCTCGCCCCGAGACTTATACACACACCTTTGCCCTAACTGCACCTGGATATGCAGACCACCTCAACGCAGGGTTCGCCTGCATCAAAATCAGTGTTAATCATGGCCTTGAAGGTGTTGAGGGACTGCGCTTGGACAATGATGTGGATGGTCAACTCCTCTGGGGATGCTGTTGCAGACACAACCGAGGCGACGCTCGCTTGCACACCTGACAGGGACATTTAGGATGACCTCAATAAAAATCAATACAAGCACCCGCTACGCGTGTTGTCCCATCACACAAACAATTTCCCCTGAGGCGCGCTCCTTCCACTTGGTTTTCGTCTGAAGCAAACACCACGTGCAGCATATCTGGGCCTGAGCTGCAAGCGGCCGTCTATTTCATCAATCTACAAGGTCGCACGCTGACAATGTTCAAGCAAGCTGGACCGCAGCAGTCGAAAAACTGGGGCTATTGCTGTCAGCATTCGGATGCGTGTCTTGGCAGTCGCTGTCACCACCTGCACCACCCTCGTCGGACAAGTCGCTGAAGTCCATGCTTATTTCTGATCCGCTCTGTTCGCCAACATGGGTACCAGAAGCCAAACTGCCCACGTCACCGTCAAACGGGCCCTCTGCGGCAAAACGTGGCATGCCAGATACCACTTCGATTCCAGCATTGACGTTGGTGCCTCCTGTACAAACGCAACGAAAGCTTGATCCAAACAGTTCTACAACCAACCCGGCAAAGCACGTGCTAGTTCCGCTTCAACACAAATGGCCTGGAAGAGCTGCGTCAATGCCAGCCGGAGAAGGCAATGTTATCGGCGATGTTGCTGGGATGTCCGGGCCAGCAAGTAACTTGCGCAGCTGCTGCTCCAGCATGTTGAAATTTTGATCATGCGATTGCAAAGACACGTCATCCTCACGAAGCCATCCGCATTACGCAGTTGGACAGGGAAACCCAACACCTACCGGGTTTAAGCATTCAAACGGCTGACCAAGACTCTGTGTAGCCTTGCATTGGCCCATTGTGAATGTGCCACAGGAATCCGAACCCGCACAGGCCAGCCATAATGGTGACCAAGAAAAGGTAGCGCGCAGCTTGACTGAGCCATTGGGATCGTCGACCCCTCGCCTCATTGCAGCGTCATTCATGCCAAAAACGAAACCCATTTTGCACACGCAGTAAGGAGCTGGCTGTCATGCTTGCAAGAACAACGACATGTCTCGGCAGTCATTCTGTGGCATTGCTGCGCCATGGGCAAGCAACTCGGCATCGCACGAATCAGGGCTTATATCTGGTTACCAAAAGATCACAGATCATACGCGCAGGATGCTTGATCTCAGGTTAATTAGTTATGTGAAATTGGCTATGAAAACAGTGCTGTGTGGCGCATGGATGGGCTATGAAATATTACGTTGACCGTAAGTTCATGCCGCTGCAACATGCGCCGGTCAGTATCAACATTGCACTTTTTTTCTTCGCAGCGCTCCGAGGCGAAGCGAAGACGAAGTTCTATAGCGGCGACAACCCATTGGGTGCTGGATCAGCTGCAAGCTGGGAGACCCGGCATCAATCAGCTGGGGGAATCGTCACGCCAATGACGGCAGTGTACAACACCCCTTACCATCCGCACATGGCGCAGCCTTGCAAGATTGCCCTGCGCATCGCAAAGCGACGCGGCGCTGCGCGCTGCACGAAGCTTCAAATTGTTGGCCGATTGCAGTCCGCAAGATCACTTTCAACATTTTTTGGTGCATGCCAAGTTTATGATGTGTTGGACCAGTTGGACCAGGGCCAACTTTGTGGCCAAGTTGATTTCCGATGTCGACATGATGTTGTTAATGATTATGCTGCATTTGCTACGGTTGGTTGTTTTTTTCTTGCGCGGTATCAGTCCAAGTCAGGAGAGACGTCGGACTTAGCCTACCGCTGCCAGACCCAGCAGGCAAATGAGAGAACGGAGAAAATCTCACAATCTTTTTTTCCCAAACAAACGACCGGCGAGCAATAACAGAGATTCACTGCGCACTGCATTGGATAAAGGAGGACTCTTCCCCGAAACGTTCTCTGGCAACCGGGCAGCCAAGAACCGGGAGAACAGTCCTGGTTCCTGTTGTCACCATTAAAGTCGAGGGGAAAAGGGGTCAAGTTCACAGCACAAGTGCAGCTCCGGAAGGACAGGATCTTGAAGATGCGGCACGGTACACGGCTGTGGTTATAGGATCACCAAAACTCCCCGTCTTTGGTTCTAGGGCTCCCCAACAAACCAAAAAATCAAGAGGCCAAACCAGTTTAAGGACCATCAAAAAAACACTCCTTAACAAACAGGAATTCAGAAGAGGCCGATCCACGGTTTTGGTTTTAGGACCACCAGAACCCCCCAACAACAAAGAAAAACCAAAGGAGGCCCAACCGCGGTTTTGGTTAAGGGACCATCAAAACCCCCACATTAGCTGGATGCACGCAACCTACTCAAGCAGGATGGTGATCCGCAGCGCTGCTCATTTTTTCACCTGCTGCCAAAGTTCAAGCTCAGTTGCGCTTCCGTGCTTTGTGGAGCCGACCAGCTGCTGCAATCCAGTCAAGCACGTCCAACACTTCTGGAAGAAGACTGTCCACTGAAGAAATGGTCTCGGGAGACGAAAGTTCGTCTTTTGCAACATTGAAAACACGTCGCTCCTGCTCATACCTGGGATCCACAGTCACTTGTGAGCAGACTCGTATCATCGTGGCTCTCACCCACGCAATGGAGGAAAGGCGATCCTCCTTTCCAAGTTCAAACATCATGATCAATGGCCGCCATTGAGAGTCCAACATTTTTTGCCTGTCCACCAAGACCACGCCAGACGGCAGTCCCAGGAGCAGAGCGCATATGGACGACGCAGAGGTCCTTCTTGAAACATGCCAGTGTGCAGCCAAGCCTCCGGTTGAAGAACAACCCAAATTTCTTCCTGAAGACGACCCTGCACGGCATTCAAGCCCAGAATCCTGAAGGAGCTAAGCGCCCGAGGGTCGCGGAGGGGCTTGAGAACATGATGTAAGTCCTGGGTAGTCCAAAGCTTTGCAAGCATACCCAATTTCAGGGTGAGGCCGTGAAGCTGCCACAGATAAAGACGTTGGTCAGTGTTCACGGAGAGCAAAGCAGCGTAGAGTAGCCCTCGGCAGTCAGCACTGGAGTCAAATGCTTTGCAAGCTGCAGTGAGGTTTTCCCAAGATAGGTCATCTTCCAAAAGGTCCAGGGCGGCAAGAACCTTTTCACGCAAGTCAGCACGCAAAAGCTGAAGTGCACTTTCACCTTGCAAGTGATAGGAGAGATCAGCCAAGGCATGCGGGGCCTGCAGCTTTTGGATGTACATGGCCGCCTTTTCATGGACCTGATGACCATGGATACGTTTGCTCGAATCGTCAAAGAAGAAGTCAAGAATTCAAGAAGGCCTTGCGGATTTTGGCGGAAGCATTTGGCTAGAAACTTGTCCGCTGAACCATCTGAAGAGGAGCAATGCACGGCCCTCCTGGACATCCGCTTGGCAATCACGGACTGCTTGAACATGGTCATCACCAAGGCTGGATTGCATTTTCAACAGCTTCTGGAAAGCTGCTCGCGCCGCTACTGGTACTGGCGGCACACGTTCCATGGGTCGCAAGCTGACCAGGCCCGTGGCATATGCAGACATAGCAAGGAGAGCATCCCACACAGCTGCAGATGCATCCAGTTCATGTCTACGTTTTTTGGCAGCAAACCAAGCAAAGTGCTTGGGAGAAGCCAGGCAGCCAGTCAAATCCTCATGAAGCAGACGCAACAGCGGGGCTGCAAAGACACCGATCGAAGAATCCCACAAGCCAAGGGCCTTCGGGAACTTTGCAACGAAAGGTACTACTTCCACATTGGAAAATCTCAAGCACGTCTTGAAGGCGAAGGCATGGTGATCCAGATCTTTGTTGCCTGTGAGGTAATTTTCTGCACCACGCATTTTCACATCCTCGACTTTGGCAATGGCAGCCATCATGGAGCATAACATTGGGCAAGGAGGCTCGCCTACTGGTCCAAACAAAGTCCAGAGTGTTCCCTGGGGTTCCCACATGCGATCCCACTCTTGAAAGTACATGGTCACGAGCGATTTATGTGCTTGGATGTCAACGCTGGAAGACGGAGGCAAATACAGGCATGACCAGATCTCCGCGACCAACATCCACCCAGAGTGTACGAGTGGAAGCAGGCACATGCGGCAGCCACAATATGGCAAAAACAACATCAGGGGATATGAACAAGCTCACGGCATCATAGAGAGTGCCTTCGTGACCAGTAACAACCCAAGGAAAAGATGGGATGGCATTCGCAATGTCAACGCCGATCGGACGCCGACACCCAGCTGCAAAGCCCCACTTGGCATACAGGGAAGATGCGCAGAACCCAAGACCAACGTTGAGTTGCCAGTCTGAACCTTTGGATCCATGCCGCCCGAAAGGCCCAAATTCAGCATAAAGCCGACAACAGGACTGGAGCAATCTGACCACTTGCGTTTTGGTTCATCTTGGGGCCACTCAACGGAGCTGCCACTCTGCGAATACGTTGTTTCTTGCTCAGCTCCCTGGAGCGGGATCGGCTTTCGAGAACATTGAACACTTCAGCTGCAAGCGAGACCCAATCTTGCGTCAATTGTGACAGGGCATCGATGGAGCAGTGTGCCAAAGGTAAAACAGCTGCATGAGATGTATGAGCACATCGCCGGAGTATTTGAACACAGGATCTGGCATCTTGGGATCTCAGCCTGGACGCGAGCATAACCCCACAGCATATGCGAAGAGGCTTTTAGAGACGCGAGATTTGCCAGAAGGCAGAAGCGCTTTTTTTTCTCACAGACTTTTATGTCTGCCTGACCATGGTCCCGAGTCGGTCTCACTACATCTTACTACGGGTCGTTCCTACGCCCAGATTGGCAGCCGACTGCTGGACTCGGCACCCCGGCCGTCAAGCACGCGCTCAAGCGGCGGGGCATCTGCCGTGTTTTTGGGCGGGCGAGGCAGTTGGCCATGTGCAGCCGAGCGCCTCCCCGCCAATGCTTGCTGCACGGTGATTGACAGCATGCCCCACCATCCGTGCGCCCATCTTGACATCGCTGCTCGCCGGACTGCGGGTGTGCCCTGCAGGCACGGGCTCGTGCAAGGCCGCGCAGGAGCCCCAAGGAACCGCCATTCCAGCGGCCGCCGACTTCGGCACCCGGAAGCGCAAGTCAAAGGGCGCATCATCACATTTGTCAATGATGAAAAAGGGAGGCTCGCAACTGATTGTGATGGCGTGCGGCTCAACTCTGGCAACGCAACTCATGCTGTGCAGAGCCCCGCTTAGCCAAAAAGCTTGCCAGCCTGTTGTCTCGCAGCTTCTCCTTGAATACCATAAATTGCCTTTGTTTTCATGATTGCATTCAACCATTTCCCAGTCAGAGGTGGCCAGCGTTGATTTTGCAGAACCACCTTTCCAGAGGGCCATATCGAGATGGCTACTTTCTGTCTACTAAGAATTGTCCAGTCAATCAGTCAGTCAGTCAGTCAGTCAGTCAGTCAACCTGAGTCAGCAGCCCTTAAGGGCGCAGGCGCAAAGTGAAACTCGAGTTGATTATTGGTCGTATAGGCGCTCGAGTTGCAAAGC